GGCTTTTATGTGTTCATTTGAAAAAAGTCCAGCCCGGCTCCCTCGTTAAACACAGCGCTTTCCTCAGCAACTGTTTGTGCTTTAAATCCGGCCAGAGACGGGATGAGTCCTCTGGCCTCTATGAAACACACAGTAAAGAGGGCAATGCTCAGGCTGGGAAGCTAAAAGAGGGATATAATGAACGGAAGGAGGGCTCCTGCCCCAGCCTGTTGGTATCTGACAGCGTCTCTGCTCCCAACCATGGCCCGACCCGGGCCGTCATTAGCACTGACTGCACCAGCCACTGGAGACACATAACCGGGAGCCCAGGTTCACGAGATCCTCTTAAAAAAATCATGGTCTGACTTTTCGAATGTGGGATTTTAGGAGCCCCCTGGCTCTGCCTGCGAGGATCAGCCCCATCGCGGGCTGGGGCTTCCTCCCGGCCCAGGAGGGCGAGCGGCAGAGCTTTAAACACCGGGGGCTGGGGCTCTCAGAGGAGTAAGTTGGCTGTAAACACTGAGGCTTTATGGAATGCAGGGAAGACATGAGACTTGTGAAAAATAATAAATAAATAAATAAATAAAGGCCAGGCTCGGCAGGGCGGACAGAAAGGGCTGAATACCAACTGCAGAACTGTAACATTTTTGTGGCCAAACTTGCAGCCTCAGTGTTTTACCGACAGCAGCCTTCACTGCAGCTCACAGAACCCTCGATTTCATTCCTTCGGAATAAAAGGGCTTTTGAATGCTCGGGAAAGGCAGTTTCCTGACTTCGTTGATGGCTCACGCAAACACGGGGACTAAATCTCCTCCATCTGGAGGTGAAGCAGCCATCCCGTCAGCCTGGGCAGCCGGAGTCGCAGAGGGGGCAGGCGCTGGGAGAGGACGTGGAGCACGAGCCGAGGCAGTCTGGGGGCCAAGGTAAACCTCCCCAGAACCATGTTTTGTTTGGAGGCTGCTAATGGCCGGCCTGAACTCGCGAAAGAATGCGAACAGCCACATCAGGAAACTCAGCAAAAGATTATTCAGACTGCCAGGGCCTAAGAAGGAAAATTAAATTTTTCCTTTGTTGTCCCTGCCTATTTTTCCACTTCTGAATAGGAGTAAAACAAAGGACTGCTCCAAATAGCTTGCACGTTCCTTCACACAGCTTCAGGCTGGGAGGTAAAGACGACACCGGCGGAAAGATCTGTACGTACTTGTCAGTAAATAAATCACAACAAAGTAAAAAAGCTTTAAAAAAAGGTACATTCTCAGCAGGCAAACTCTAACCCGAACGCAGCTACGGACACTGGAGTTTGGCCACTCTTCGGCCACGTTTGGGGTTTCTCCAGGCCACAGGACACCCACAGGGTCAGTCCCTGCAGCCCAGTGGCGCGAGGGGTGGGGAGGAGGCAGCGATGCAGCAGAGACACCCCAGACACCCCCCCCAGCCCCGCACCAGAACCAGAGGGGCATTTCTTCTCAAATTCAAAGGACTTGATAAAGATGAAGCCTCATATTGCTGCAGCCCTGGAGGTGGGCACAAACTTCTCAGAGGCTGCCACTTCCCTGGCTGCTCGAGGGCTGGCAGTATAATGGATGCAGCAAACTCTGAACTGGGTTTGCAAAGTGTCCTGATTTTAAAAAATCCCAAGCAACCCACAGCATTTTAAAGCCGACTCCTCCTGGCTCGTTTGGGGTGTGCCCCCCAGCCTGCACCCTTCACCCCAGGCAGCCCCGGGCAGAGGTGGGGCGAGGGCACCTCCACATTTCCCTCGCTGCAGGGTGAGGTTTTCGGTTCCTCCTCTGTGAGTATAACCCAACGACACAAACACAGGCAGAGCTTTTAAAATACAAAACCACCGCCACTCGCACATTTACTCAGCTGCATTAAAAATATCTGCACGTAGCAGATTCCGTAATTACAGCATCATCAGGGATTTCAGTGGGAAGGGCGATTTTCCTGGGGGAGAGTGGAGGCTCAGCGATTGAGGGTGATGGGCATTAACACCAACACTGAGTTCCACCACCACCTCCTGGCATGAACCTCCCCATCGCCAGCATTTCAGGATGGGCTTCGCCCTGTGGTGGCCACCGGCACTCACCGGCTGGAGGCTGGCACCTCGCTAGCCCAGCCAAAGGGCAGGAAATACCTGTGTTCACTGGCCACTGGGCATGAAGCAGACCAGCAGGTTGAAGTCAACGGGCCCCAGATGCAACTGTAAGAGGGACAGTGGAAGAAAGGCCCCCCTGAGGCAGGGTTTAGCTCCGGACCTGGCTAGTCCATAATTACACTCTGCTGCCTGTCTGCACGGACCAGAGCTCACCGGGAGCACGGACAGGCTGGAGTTAAACTTGTTTTCCAGGTATCTCACGGCACTGACATACCACGTACCAGGGCAGGCTGCAGAGCCCACTCGTGAAACCCAGCAAACACTGGGGTGACTCCCTCTGCAGCTCCCCAGGGCTGCTACGTTATTTTAAACCAGTTTAGGTACAATCCCACATGTCTATAGAGGCAGGGGAACCAGCTGGGGATGTTTCTTGCCTCCAGTCACTCTTTTTCTCTCCTGTATCCCTGTTCCCTTCCCCTGTCCCTCCAGGAGTGCCGGAGCTGCTCCTGGTGAAGCTCGCTGGAAACTGAATGCTTGAATTTATCCACATGGGGAAAAAAAAACACCCACAAAACCCAACCCTAAACCCAAATACTCAGCAGTTTTCCTCAGGAGTTGCTGAGGGGCCGCTGGAGGTGGGAGCAGGCTGAAGTGGCCAAGGCTGGAAGGGCAGGCGGGAAACCAGTTAGACCCAGCAAAGGGTCCCCACCATCTCAGAATCGGTGTGTCCAGTCCCTGCTTTTGTGGTGGCAGCAGCCCTCAAGCATGCACAAATGATGCCGGTCCAAACGCTGCTACAGGAAGGATGAATCTGGTCTCCTCTCCCCCAGCCCACGGCCAGGGTTCTTCACCCACGTGCTGGGTGCGTTGTCCCCAGCACCGAGGCAATGGGGCAGGGGCTGGAAGGTGGGTGCCCCCTGCCCAGCATCCCAACGAGACACCTTGGCTTTGCTGGGCAGCCAAACAGGGACTCTCCTCGACACGGTGTTGCCTTTTGCTTGTATCAGACTGTGAGGGGCTGCTCCATCCGAAACAAAAGCGTGAAACAGAATAAGGAACAAATTAGAAGCAGTTCAAAGCTGTCCCTGCAATTCTTAGAACTCGAGAGAAAAAGAGGTAAAAACCTCCTGCAGCAGAGATTTGATTATCAGATTTGATTATCAGCCTCCCCCAAATGATACCAATTACTGTAATTACCAAGCCCCTTGTGAAGCAGGACATCGCTGCAGCCATTGCAGCACCAGAGCTGTACATATATATATATATATATTTACCTGCTCCCTCCTCAGCCCGGTGGTGTCTCTGGATTTAATGTGGGTACCCCCCCCCAGCACTCACCAGCACAAACTGGCTTTTGTCATCACACCCTCCCTGTAGTTGTTTGAGGTTCTTAAAGAGCAGGTTCCTCTCCCTTTTACCATTATTCAGAAGTTGTCAACCGTTTTGCTGCCAGGGGTCTGTCAAGGCAAACACACTCGGGTATTTCAAGCAGCACCTACTTTATTTTCCCCCCACCCGTCCCCCCCGGGCAGTCCGTACGTACAGACAGGCTTTAACCAGCCGATGCCTTCAAAACACAAGTCCAAGGCTCCATTAAAACTTATCCCCTTCCCTCTGAAGCTGAAGGAGTTGCAGAGCCTCTGGAAGGATAAGGCCTCGACTGCTGGAGTTTTTCAAACTATGCATCCCTTTGATCCCTTTCCCAATATGCAAAAAATACTAAAATTCTCTCCTGGATTTCATTACTCATAAAAAGACATGAAAGTGCAATTATTCCTTACTCATCAACAGCGACCCACCAAGCCTAGCTCCGAGCTAGACCATTCCGGCTACTTCAAAAAAATTTCCATTTCCAGATTGCTCTGGCAGGTATAACTGGGACTCTGCAAACAGCTACAGCTGTGTGGGCTAATTGCTTTCCTCTAAATTATTTATGAGGCGTTTTTGAGTGATGAGCTTTCTCCCAGCAGCGTTGTGCTAACCTTGGCATGGGCTGACGAACGGGTGGGAGCTCCATCACCCACCGAGGGGCAGAGGAACCCGCTCTGGAGCATGAACACCCAACAGGGAGGTCAGGCTCTACCTGCCTTCAGCTCCTTCTCCAGTGACTGCTCCATGGAAAATGTACGTGTGAGCGTCACGTCTGCACAGAACACCCCCCTCTACCCTGGGGGCTGGAGCAGAGAACCCTGGAGACCCCCTGATTTAGATCAGGCAGAACATGGGGTGGCAGTGAGCTGCAGAAGACAATCCATTGCACTGAACAGGGCTCTTCAGGCTCCGCTCCCGGGCGCAGAACGGGGCTGTGAGATGCATTTAGGAAAGCTAGAAATAAACAGGCTTCAACTCACCACCAAGGGGGCAACAGCTTTACTAGAACATTTTTACGTGATACATGCACTGAAGGAGAACAGACAACATGACCACAGACAGTACAAAATATTTATCATGAGCCTCCACTTACCACTGCTTTTTCCTGGAGGGCTTGTCCCCGCCATCCAGCCAAAAAGGCCTTTAAAAGCTATGGCTAAAGGTAACCATAGACCCTGGCAGCTGAATAAAAAAACTGGCATTCCAGGGACCAGCAAATTATGTCAGTATTTTTCTCTTCCTTTCCAGATACAAATAGCTGGTGGGGAGAAGCAGTAGGAACCAGACTGGCTGAAATAAAACTTCACATCTTGAGCTGCCAGAGCTCGAGAGGGAGCAGCCAGAGGAATGAAGCAAAGCAGCCCCTCAGAATCACTGCTCGCTCCTGGTGTGTTTAGTGCCTCCCCGCGAGGCCATGAAGGTGAGCAACCGACGGGACATCTTCATGGCTTCCACAGCTGTGTTTAAGAACTACATTTAACAGGATTCCCAGCCAAACTGTGGGTGTAATGGTGCACTGTAATTTCCTAAGCAGTATTTTTACCCCGCCCATCCCACAGATTTTAAACAATTTGAATTTACCTTCTCCAATGCTCGTTTATTCTCCATGTGCCAGCAGATTCGCAGTGTTTTCTGCACAGAATTCTGCTGAGCCCAGGGACAGGGATCAGGTGGAAAAGGGCAGGTGACAGAGTGCTGCTCCTGGGAGGGGAGATGGCATTTCAGAGCCAGGGCAGACATCCCTGGACCCCTCTGCTCAGCACCACAGAGACATCACCTGAGCTGCTGGGGTCTGCAGAGGACAGCACACCGTGATCCAGAGGTCTGTAAGGACAGGAGGAAGGCAGGACAGCCAGTCATCCAAAGAGCACCCAGAAGTTTCATTTCTTGACTCCCTGGCACTGGAGATGGCTCTTGGGCCACGTCCTCTTTAGTGGGTGGCACCTGGGAGCTGAAAGAAACGTCCCAGCTCCCAGCCTGCTTCCTTGGAGAGACCCCTCGTACTCCTCATGGACTCCTCGTGCTTCCATGGAACCACAGCCTGGGGACAAGGAAGCGGGTCCCCTGTGGAGGAAGAGGAGGAAGAGGGGAGGAAGCGGATGTTCCCAACCACCCCTCACAGATGGGGAAGGAGACAGGACAGAAGGGATCTGTCTGGATCCGACAGCGACTCGCAGCCCGGCACAGGTAAGGCCAGGGAGTCATTCATGCCTCATTTCTCCCACCTGTAAATTATTCCTCCCTCTTCGTCCCCACAGGCACATCGTTATGACTGCTCAATTAATTAACAGTTTAAAGAGCTCTGAGACATTCAGATGGAAGAGAAGGGGTTTTTTTGTGTTTCTGCTTTTCCAAAGCTGCGTGCATAAACACTGTGTTTATAGGTCCTTTGCTAAGGATGAAGAATTACCTCCAGTTTATGGATGGGAAAGCTAAGCCACAGAAAGTTAAAGCCCACACTTTGAGAAACAGCCTCAGGTTCCAAGATCCCACTCTCTGAGTGCCCGGCCACAAATAAACCCACCTGGGCTTTCAGAGGGCTGAGCACTCCCTCTCCTGTGAACAGCCCCGAGGGAAGGCCGTCACCCACCTGCCGAGGATCCCAAATCAGGTATCCCAAAGCTTAACCCACTCTGGAAATCCTAAATGGGACCTTACCCAAGAAAACCTGAAGGGAAGGAGCGCACTCGAGTGCTTTCCCCACCACGTCACTGCTTGGGTTCAGCCAGAGCTTCAGCAACGCTTCCTGCCACCGAGGGACCAGAGCAGGTGATGGGACTTCTGGAAGCATCTATTCCGTGTCCCTCCAGCACAGAGAGCTGTAAATAAATGTATTACTGGAGTGAGAGTTTCCCAGGCCAAAACAATCAAAACTCACATAAAAATAGAATGCTGAAAGGAAATCTGACCATTCTGCACTGTTATTATTTTTAACAGAAAACCCGAGTTCCTGTCAAAAACAAGAGAATAGACAATTTCCAGCCAGCTTTAATGGCAAGATCTTTTGAAATACTCAGCCATCTGTCACAGCAGGAGCGCTTGCTGTTCAGCCCTTCGGAAAAATCTGGCCCTTCTTTGGGAACATGGAGCTTTTGAAACTCAGCTCTCAGGCCCCGCCGTAGGAACCGCTTCTGCCATGGAAGGTCCTGCTCTTTCCTCTCTCCAAGGACTGTCCTGTGCAGCAGAATCTGCCAGCAAAGCAGGCAGAGATGGGCTTGCGGTGCAAAACTGGAGAATTGCTCCCAGCTAGCCCTAAATCCAAGGACAAACGGGTAGGTTAAGTCCAGAACTAACTGTACTTTCATTTAATGTTGTTTATAAAAAACATTGCAAACATATTTTAGCAGATTTCCAAATGTCTGTAGCTCATGAAAATTGCTCACTGAATATTCTTTTTCCCTTAGAAAGATTTATTTCCCCCCTCCTCTGATTCTTCCAGTCCTTTCTCTTCCCTCTCTCACTGTTGCTGACACCTTGCCCCAGACAGAGAGGTGGTAATGAAGAACCGCAGTCACCAGCAATGGAATCACCTGCTCCTCGCTCATAAAAGGTTGTTAGTAGTGGGACCCCAATTTGGGATGGAAAAACGGCTTCCAGGTAGGTCTCTCTGGGGTTAGTAAAATCTGCTCTACACAGGGAAATTCTGCAGCAGGTGAAGCACCTCCCACCTGGGACCAGCAAACAGAGGGTCCGACGCACAGAAGTGTCATCCCACCACAAACACCCACCTCTGGAGCCTGCTCCAGCTCCCCTTCACAGCACGAACATCTAAAGGCAGCGACCTGAAGGCAGCCCCGCAAAGTCAAGCTCTAACCAGGAGGTTTGCCCTTTCTTCTGCTCCTGGTGCGTTAGAAGAAATGTTACTGGTCTCATTTTAACAGCTATAGATGAAGTTCCTTGTGGTTCTCCGGGATGGAGACAAAAGCCACGTTACTTTCAATGGAGCAAGACCTTCAATAAATGGATGATATATGTAAGAACACTTTTCATTTCTAAAGTGGGCCAAGAGGCTTTGAAGTCACGTTCATAGCTCCACACGATCCCTTCTGCTGCAAAGAAAACCTCAGTAAAATCCTGGCTACATGAAAGTAAAGAGCAAAATTCCCACCAGTTTCCCTGTGAACGAGACTTCAGGCCATAAATCTACTCTGTAGAGGGTTTCCTACCAAATGTTGGAAAATTAATTTTTTTCAAAGAAAAAGAAAAAGTCAATTGTTTTATTGTATTTTCTTTAAAAAGCCGAACCCAAACTTTTCATTTTAGATTGGGGTCAATCCCAATTAAAAATTTTCCAGTTCCCACACATGTCTTCCCGAAGCAGTGGAGCTGTACTGGCTGACACATTCTGGTCCTAACCCAACCGACACACAATAGCTTGATAATGCCAGGCAATATGTTTTGAACTTTCCGTCCCCACAAAAAAAAAATTCAGCATATCAAGGTTCTTCTCCATCCAACCTCCACCCCCCCAAGTTTGAACAGAAATACATACAGAAGTATTGCAGTTTGTCAAAGATGTTTTCAAAACTACAATTCATGTCGGCAATGGTTTCCACCTGGCACAGCCCTACCAAAGCTAAGAAGTTGCTCTGGAAGAATAAAGCATAATTGGGAACAGAATTTGGCCTGAAGAGCTCCATGTCCCAAAGAGCCCAACGAGACCTTCCCCTTGGCTCTGCTCGTGCCTTTTGAGGAGGAGCCCAGCAGAAGGCAGGGAGGAATCGGTGGCTGCCAGCTTTGCAGAGTCCGGGAAACTCTTCGGAGACGTGACCCCAATTCTCTGGCTCCTGGATTTCCAACAGAGGAGTCTCTCAAAAATGGTGCTCTCCAGGGCCCCAAGGTCTTCACCCTTAACCTTCCTGAGTCACTGAAGAATAGTCAGCCTGAGCTACAACAACTACAGCAAACGTCCATTTGCTCCAGCACAGCGGTCTCAGAAGGTGCCGAAATGTTATAAACTCATGGCTGAGCCCTTGTTCAGCAGGAACTGAAAAGAACTTCAGCACTTGCTTAAGTTTAAGCACAAGCTGAAATGCATGGCTGAACAGGAACGGCCTGAGGAATTATGCAAATGCTTAGATGACTCCGGGTCCAAATATGAATTACTTTAGAAGATAGAGAAGCAAGCAGTGCAATTTAATCATTTTTATCTCCTCACCAAGAATGCACAAGTTCTTACAGCTAATATTACAGCATCCTCTGCTGCTGCCAGAAGCCAAATGACCTATTCTTTAACAGTCAAGCTCTCCTCATTTTCAAACTGAAGATTAGTCCATTTATGCTGCACAGTGGCACAGAATGACAATTCCATAACACAGGGAGCGAGCGCTGTTCCTCGCCTCCTCCATTTCCTCGCCCTTTCAGCGCTCGCTCCCGCTCCCGATTGACTCTCATGGTAATAAGGTGCTGCCGCTTCTAATCTCAAATTGTGTGCTTTCTGGGACACGGGCAAGTCATTAGATACCGCCACGGAGCGCCCAACTGCATCTGACCTTGAATCTAAACACACAAAAAACCCCACGGAGATAGAACTTACTCATATTAACAGTCTGCACTGAAGCTACAGCCTGAGCCGGGCACCCCCTTACACCGGGGAGTGGAACCCCCTCAGCAGCAGCACCACAAAGGGCACCTCCCCGCAAACACGAAGCTGGTTGTGAAATTGCTCCTGGGGGTGCCTGGTCCTCCCTCCTGCAGACGCCCTGGCAGCAGGACTGTGGCCGGGGCCAGTTCCCGGGGCCGGGTGGCTCGCAGCCCGTCCACAGCCCCACACACGCTCCAGCCGGCCCTCCCTGCAGGAATAGCAGGGAATCTGGGATATAACCCCCAGGAATGCCATCGCAGAACACTAGTGCGTTACATCAGGGTATCACTTCCCCTCCACAAACTAAAGAAAGGCCTTATCTCACAGATATTCATGGTTGGAAGGGACCTCTGAGATCATCGAGTCCAACCACAAAAAAAACCAAACCCAAACCAACCCAAACAAACAAACAAAACCCCCACAAACAGCCCCAACCCCACAACCCCGACAGCCCCAACCCCGGGCACTAGAGCATGCCCTGAAGAGCCATGTCTACACGTTTCCTAAATCCCTCCAGGGATGGTGACTCCACCCCCTCCCTGGGCAGGCTGTTCCAGGGCCTGACCACCCTCTCAGTAAAATAATTCTTCCCAATATCTAATCTAAACCTCCCCTGCCCCAACTTCAGACCATTTCCTCTGGTCCTGTCATTATTCCCCTGGGAGAAGAGGCCAACCCCCACCTCTCTGCACCCTCCTTTCAGGGAGATCTCGCTGTGATCTGAGCAGAAATAGGCAGGAGAAAGGGGAGAGCGATTAATAAACTCTGCAACCAACAATCACTGGGATCTGAGCAGAAATAGGCAGAAGAAAGCAGAGAGCGATTAATAAACTCTGCAACCAACAATGACTGTTGGTAATTACAGTACAGTCAATATGGGAAGACACACAAAAGGGCTCGCTGAGAAAACATCCCAATATAGAGTGCTCAGCTCCGGGGAGTGCTTCCCACCAAAATTCAGAGTATTTGACTTCTGGGTCACTGATTTCAATCTGGCCTCAAAGGAGAAAAGGCCTGAAGCCAGTGCCAGGTGTGGGTGGTGTGGGAGCAGAAGGGTGGGAGAGGGGAGGACACAACCTGAGTATTTGTGATTCCTGAGTGCAATAAAGCTAAAAATTCAGGCTGTGGCTCAATGATACAGTCAGTCCAGCTCTAGGACTCTCAGGACAAGGGGCTGCTGTGATATCACAATTCTGCCGGTTCCAGCTCGTCTGAAGCCCTTTGGCAGAGCTGACAGCGTGATGCTTTTTACAGCTGGAGGAGAAATCCAGAGTGTGCCAAAGAGTTCAACAGAAATGGGGGTGTGTGTGTGTGCCCACAGCTCACCGAGCCCCAAAGGGCTGGTATCGGGGGGTCATCCCTCGGTGGTGGCTGCGGGTGGGGGTCAGGGAGGACCAGGCCCGGCAGGAGCGTGCTGCCGAGCTGCTGCTGGTCACCCTCTGGGCTGGAGGCGAATGAGGACGCTGTCTGCAGCCCTGCCTGTCCTGTGAGAGGGTGGAGGGTGGCAGATGGTCAGCGAGTCGCCCAGGACACACAGAGCCACAGAGGCGTTAAACAGCATCAATAGCCAGGCTTTAGATGACACCCTCCCTGCTGGCACCACGTCCCTGCTCATCAGCGCTCCATTCAGTTAAAGACTTTAAAGAGAGCAGGGAATTAGGAGATTAGAGAGATGTGCTGCCGCCTTTGATAAGCCTGAAACCAGGAGCTCTGGTTGTGTTAATCCTGCAGCAGCAACACTGAAAAGGCGCGATTAACTGCGGCTGCAGGAACAGTCTAGCGCAATCTGTTTTCCCAGGGAATTCCTCCGTGGAAGGATGGGTCACAGGGCACACCTGCAAAACGCATCCAGGCGTTTGTGTCTGCACTGTGTCCACGGCCTGTGCTCCAACAGATGGTTGGCCAAAGGATTTTTTTTCCTTTCATTTTATTTTTGGGTTTTTCTCTGAACGCAGAGGAGCAGAGCAAGCCCTCCTGCCAACAGGGTAGTGAATGCAGAGCATTCAGCGAGGAAGAGGTGACCTTGATTAGTGTCTAATAAGTAGAAAGCAGTTGCTTTTCAGCACATAATGAAGTAGGAACGTTCTGCCACAGTCTGCCAGAGCTCTCGGTGCTGCTCTGATGGATGCTGTCAGAGATGCTGTCCATACTGTCTCTGCTTCAGGCACCAGCTGATCCTCGGTCCCTCCACACATGGTA